ACCCTCGTGTCGCCCTTGACTGCAGCGGCGTGAGGGCAGGCGTGCCGCCGGGGCTTCTGTGCGCCACGCTCGCCATCGTGGTGCTCAAACCGGCGGCAGCTGGTGCCCCGAAGCTGCTACTCTCTTCCGGCTCCTTGCCCGCAGCCGTGCCNNCTTATGTGCTTCGGTGGTCCGCTCTGATCGCCTTTGCCACTGCCCGCGCCTTCGCGCCGCTTTTCGGTGCAGCCAATGTCGACGGAGATCCTCCGCTCCTCAGCGACCTCCTTGCCGAACCATCGGCCCCTCCTCCTCTTGCCAGCCGCATGCCCTGAGTGGCCTCCGTAGTCTGGCCCTGGTTTCGGGCGACCTGCGCAGGGACCGCGTGGACAGCAAAAAGGTGTGTGTGGAAAAAGAAGCGACATCAAACATACCCTCAAATCGCCTGTGCCCGGCGATGCCGCTTCGTCGTTGTCGGCGTCGAGATTGGCGGCAGGCTTGGCTATGAGACCGTGCAGCTCCGTCGCCTGCTCGCGCGATATAAGACGACGACCGTTCCTAGTGCCGTTCCTGCCGCATCCAGACCTGCCGCGCGCTGGTCCGGGCTCGTGGCGCGGGCTAGCAGGCTGTGTCCTCCACCAGCTGCGCCGGCACTGCAGTGTAGGGCGCTTCGGCACAGGGACCCTCTTCGCGAACTTACTTGCGGTTCTAAAGGCGCGTGAGGAGAAAATCTTATATAATCGACAAGTTTCTGCCAGTGAGAAACGTTCTGAAAGTCACAGACTCAGGGAGAGTTGGCGTCGTAAGAAGTTCGTTTTTGCAAGCCTCTACTCGACAAAGCGTCCAGTATGACGAGGGTATATTTCAGAACGCGCGGGGCCTGCTCCGCACGCATGGAAGTGCTGTCAAGACGGGTGCAGTCGTTTCTGCCGCGCGCCTTCACGTCATTCTTAATGAGGAGATGCAGAATTGCTCATGGTGCGAGACAGCAGAGCTTGCTACATGGGCCCACTCGGCCTAATCTTGTGATGCCTTTGAAGAAACACGCCCTTCGAGCTGGCCATGTGGCTCTCCCTTGGACCATGCCGTGATCATACATCTCTCACACCTTAATTAGGGATTGTTACATCGAAAGCGGCTTCCTCCTAAGTCTCGAGCATTTCTCGATACGGAAGACGAGCCTCCAAAAAACACGCCAGGAAGCAGCGCGAAGTGGAGGATCT